TCAGACAAAACAAGGGGAGTCCGCTTTTAGTTATTATGCCGCCCGCAGTTGGAATCAGCTTCCAGAAGAGATCAGATGTGCTAAAACATTAGTCACATTTAAATGCAGACTCAAAACTCATCTATTTAGCTGTGCATTTATTGAATGAGCACTGTGCTACGTCCGAACTGAAAGCACTTTGAATTACCATTGTGTATGAAATGTGCTATATAAATAAACTTGCCTTGCCTTGCCTTGCCAGTCATTATCAATGTTGAAAACAGTTGTGCTGCTCAATAGTTTTTGTGGAATCCGTGATGCATTGTATTTCTTTACTGTCACTTTTGATCAATTTAATGCATTCTTGATGAATAAAAGTTAAAGAAATCTTATCCCAATGTTTTCAACATTGATAATAATCAGAAATGTTTCTAATAATCAGCATATTAGAATGATTTCTGAAGATCATGTGACACTGAAGACTGGAGTAATGATGCTGAAAATACAGCTGCGCATCACAGAAATACATTACAGTTTAACAGATATTCACATAGAAAACAGTTGTGTTAAATTGTATTAATATTTCACAATTTTTACTGTATTTTTGAACAAATAAATGCAGCCTCTGTGAACAGCCCTTTTGAATAAACCAGCATATATGGTTTGAGCTGGTTTAAGCTGCTCCTGGGTAACAGCTCCTGCTCAGGACCAGCTTAAACCAGCAGCCCATGCTTCAAAACATACCTAACCAGCATATATGCTGATTATTCAACAGGGAGAAGAGACTTCAGATACATGAATAAATGCAGTGAGTGTTTAATGCTGAATCATGGGATAGCGGTTTTAGGAAGTCTGTCCTGAACGATCCATGATGACAAACATGAGCAGGAAAACCACATTCATCCAGAGCTGCTGATGTCACTGTGACGTTACACGCGTGTTTGTGGCGAGTGTGTTCTGAGTGCATGCACGAACACACACGTACTTTACCACAGCAGTAGAGTCAGCACTACACACACCAATAGTAATTTCACAGTAATTTCACACACACACACACACACGCACGCACACACACACACACACAAACACTCTCTCTCTCTCTACACACACACACACACACACATTTATCTAAATGGGGTCATTGCACAGACTTCTATAGTTTATATATATCATCAAACTGAAACCCACGGTCCAAAAACACACATAATACAATGCACAAAATAAACAAACAAATAATAATATAATAAAAACACACACACAGGCAAAATCCACAATATCACATATTTACACATAGACTAAAACGCCATTGGTTCCACATACTGGAGAAACATCTGACAGCTAAAACTATACAAACCAAACCAAAGCCACACACTAACCAACTAACTAGGAACGTTGTGCATTTTTTTCACTATAAAACATTTTTTTTTTTTTACACTTCTTTCACAAATGAGGACGTCCCC